CCTATCAGGTATCTGATATATGTATGATATATATATTAGTACCTGATATGTGTATGATATGTGTATTATTTGTGTATGATTTTCTACATTTTAAGTATCCAATATGTGTAAGATATGTGTAGGATAAATCATTTTTTTACCAGTGTTTGATTTGTCACATCCAATAATAATATATAGATTATCTCTAGGTAATTTAGGATTAATAACTATCAGTTTGAACTTTTTCCCATTTATATCTACATCATGAAAATGATAGAACTGTGTGGCTATATTGATCGATGCCTGAATTTTATCCCCTAAACTATCCAAATAGCTCGTATCATCTATATAGGCTTTGACTGGTATCCTTAATCTAAATTGCTGCTATGTTGATCGATCCCAAATATCTGTAGGCCATGTATTCACCATTTCATATCCTTGTTGGTAGTTGCACGCTTGTTGAATGGCTACAAGCAATGGATTGTAAAAGATTCTCCATAGGAGAGGTGAGATTGCATCTCTGGTCTATACCATCTCCTCCTATGAAAGTTGGACTAGGGCTGAAAGCTATTATTACGTTCATTTGTCTATTCTTGAATAGGCCTGTAATCCATATGACAAATTTCTCTAGTATGTCTAGCTTTCTTAATGCTAATTATAGACTTTCTAGACTAACTGAATCATAAACTTTCATCATATCTTGGGTTACTACCCAAAGTTCCCTTCCATTTTCCCTTGCGTCTTCAATTATATTATTCATCAATCGTAATAGTATTGCTATGTCTTGCTCTTTGAGACCGCAAAAATTTAATCTGCGTAAAACTTTATTAGATGTCAAAATTGCACTTAACCGATTTGTTATTTACTTTGGTGACGTATTTCCTAATATTATCTAATAATGCTATGGGACGCGTGTTGCCAAAATATAATTGAATTTTTGTGGTTTTGGAATTAGGTGGATAGGTGACTGCTTCCACTGGTCTGACACAACTCCTATTTTCAAGGACAGATTAATGAATTTTAATAAAATATAATTAGATTTTTCTGAGAAATGTTTAATTATAGCATATCCAATGCCTGAAGGACCTTGCGCTGAATTCGTATTTACAAACTCAAGTGTTTGATGTCATTCTCCTATTGTTATCTTGTTCATTAGGTTAGTCATACATTCAGTGAATTCCCCTTTCGGCCTATATATATTACTCCAGAAAACGTTCTGTTCTATTGACTTAGTATTGCATTTTCGTAAAATTCCTGCAAAAGTATCTTTTGCATGAGTTCTAATTGTATCAGGATCAAAAGCTAATCTAACACCTTCATTCTCATTAGAAATTACTGCTCTATCAATGACAATGTGTTCTTTAACGTTATCTTGTGGGGAGTGTAACCATTTAGGGATATCTGAGTGTATTATGTTGCACTGATTTTCTATACTATCTTGGATCTTACATAGCCGTTGCGCTTGTAAATAGTTTTTATCTATTTTGACTCTCTTTTTAAACACTTTTTTAGCATTCTTTATCCATGTGTTACTGAAGAGACTATTTGTAGGAATAGTAATTTCTTTATGATTATCAATAAATTTATCATATTCTATCCTGTTGTAATCTTTGTTGTATTTATTGATTCTATTTATCCAAAAATTAATCCATTTATCATCTTTATTGTCAATGAAATCCTGATCCTTGCTTATTTTCCTCATTAAACTTTCCAGTTTAATGGTATGTCGCATGGTTTTATCTACAAATGATAATTTATGTCTTGTATTACGACTTTCCAGATATTTAACTATCTTCGTAGGCAGCTCTATATTCACCGCTATTGATATTGTGCTCATGATATTATTCCAAAGCTCATTAAATCTACATCTTATTTTTTCTCCATCATCGTTCGTTTTATATCCTAATTGTATTTTATAATTGAATTTATCGATTAATTGTTGAAAGTCCCATGCCTCTATTTTTCTGTCCAGTATTTCAGTAAAATTCTCCCATTGTAAATTAGTTATTTTACTGATGTCTACTATGCGATTATTCTGATGTCTATCATCTAAGTTTAAATCCTGTATCTGATCTAGGACACAATACCAGAAGTTGTTCTTAATAATAAATCCTGATATATTTACCGTTGTTGAAATAATACTATGATGGCTATTTGTGATCATCTGTGATGAGTGCACCGAGAATTCTACTGGAATAACATCGGCTTCATGTATGATCCAAATTTGATCAATTCTTGATATCGAGATAGGGCTTGATTTATCCTTATTTTTATCTCATTTCTCATGTGTAAATAGCTCTGTATCTGGATAAAGAGCTCAGCAAACATCATAAAGTCCCAGTTGCGATAACTGTATCAGAAATTGTAATCCTGGTTGTTCAGTACTAGGCGAGCGATCTATTTTATTGTCAATTGTATCGTTAAAATTGCCTAATACAACGTGTAGTACTACGGTGTTGTGAATTGATCAGTTATGTTCCTCTATAGCCATTTTCAATTCATCAATCAAGTTTTTCCTCATATCTTGATTGTTAGGGGTGGCATATATTGACCAGATCCATATTTCTCTCTGTATGAATAAGAATTTAACTATTATGATATATGGAGATATGTATTCTACTGCATAGTAATATTTCATCTATCTGTTATAAATCACAAGTGCTGTTCCTGATCCTTTGGTTTTTTGATCTCATTCACTGAATATTATTGAGTAAACCTTTGACTTAATATCTTGGTTTATAAAATATTCCTGACAATAGTCTATATTAGTTTCTGATATAGCCATAATATTGATATTATTTTTTTCGATAAATTCTAACAAACTGTGAAGTTTTTGTATAGACGGAGTACTAGCTATCCCATCTATATTATATGCTACTATGTGCAAGTCTAAATACATCGAATCATTTGTTTCTTAATTATTTAGATTCTTCTTAGTAAATCTTAATCTCTGTCTTGCTAAGAATACATTAACGTTTTCTTCATTTGTCAAAGATTTGACTATTTCCTCTAAATTGTCTGGATCTTTTTGGAAATCTCCCTTTTCATACGTTAATTCAGTTGTTTCTGAGTTCGTCTTATGTTTGTTCTGTGTTTGTTGTAATTGTTCATTACTCGCGTGTTGTATGGAGGATGACGCATTGTTGTTCTGATTATTTTTGAGAAGAATGCTCGGAACTTGACTATACTTGTGTCTGAAATTATTTTAGTATTACGGAAATACGTAATTACGTAATTCTGTAATTATTAAGTAATTCATTAAAAAAACTCCGTATTCCGTAATTGATTTCAGACTCTGTAATTAATTTCGTATTACGAAAATATTTGGCCAGACTTAATTTTGGCCGATTTATATATATAAACTTTAACAAATAATAACTCGGCACCCAGTGATCCATTTTGGATGATCTTACTACCATTTGATTCGTCTTGATAAGACAATTCTAATGGTAGTAAGATCATTTAAATCCAATCACTAGATCGCGATCCGATACCAATAACTTTTAAATATTTATAGCGTAATAGCTCTGCCAATTTCAATGCTAGAAAGATGATCTTACCGCCATTAGAATCGTCTCGTCATGACAAATCGAATGGTGGTAAATTCATTCAAATCTAATCACTGGATCGTACTCCGACACCAAAATTCATTAAATGTTTATAGTAATTTTACTCCATTAATATCGGTGCTATAGAAATGAAACACATATCATTAGATTCGTCTCGATGAGACGAATAGAATGGTAGTAAGATCATCGAAATCTGATTACTAGATCCCGAGATATTCGCAATTTCGCACTATTATGCAAATTTCAGAATTTCGGAATACGTAATTAATTACGATTTCGTAATTTCAGATTTTGGATTTGCCAATTGAATCTCGGAAACAACTATAAACTTGACATTGTTTCAGCCTTTTTCCGTGTGTAACTCTATTGTTGATCATCTTGTGTAACCTTCGCTCTTGTTTTTTATTTAGGCCAGCTAAAGAAAAAACTGTTGTATTCAATCTCGACAAAATAATATTATAATGATATTATATTGGTCACAATATATTATATTAATAATATATATATATTATAATACAATTAATTTGCTATTTAATAATTAAATTTGCATAAACTTTTTTTTATTTGTAACCCTCTTTATATTTTATAAAACAAAAAAAAAATCATTAAAATTAAACTGCTAAATAGTAAATTAATTGCAAAAAAACCTCTTAATAAATAAATTACTATATATTATATATATATAATATAATTATTTTATTATCCAATAATCCAATTTGCATAAACTTTTTTTGTTTTGTAACCCTTTTTATACTTTATAAAACAAAAAAAAAATTTATTAAAATTGGATTTTTAAATAGTATGATAATTATAAAAAAAGTTTCTTAATAAATAAATTACTATATATTATATATACTATATAATACAATTATTTTATTATCCAATAATCCAATTTGCATAAACTTTTTTTGTTTTGTAACCCTTTTTATACTTTATAAAACAAAAAACAAAAAAAAAATTTATTAAAATTGGATTTTTAAATAGTAAGGTAATTATAAAAAAAGTTTCTTAATAAATAAATTATATATTACTTACTATAAAAGATATATTATTACTATAAAAGGTATATTGTAATACTTGCAGGATTTAATCTCTACTAAATTACATAATTTCTGGTATACCTTAATAATATACGAATGTCTTCATCACAATATATTTTAAGGAATGCTAATATTAATTATTTATAAAATTTATTACCAATACATATTTTGCTGATTTTAATACATCTCACATTGCACTCTCAATTTTCTATGCATTTATACTGCTTTACATTTGATGTATAATAGCATTGCTTTCATCAAAAATAGTTATAAATAAACAGGCTGTAAACTTGATATGAAAAGATTTTTAACCTATACTATAATAATATTCCACTTATTTATAAATAAGTCTTTTTGCATATTTTGTAGTTGTAAATTTGAAAGCCAGATATTTTTAACTTATCAAGTTTTGCTTTTAATTTATTATTAAGAGATTTTCTGTAAGAGATCCAGATAAAATATAGTAAAAAAGAAATATTATACATCTTATTTTTCAATGCCATAATAACCTTTCTTAATATAGTAGTTTTCTATGTTGCTGGAAAAAAACAAGTAAGCATTGTCATTTTTTCAATACTTAAGAAATTAAAATATATTTCAAAAGCATTTCTTAATTTTTTTACATTAAGCTTTTTCTGGCAACTTCATAAAAAGATAGTAGTTAAATTATTTCTCAATACTTAAGAAATTGAAATATGCTTCAAGAGTATTTCTTAATTTTTCTACATTAATAGCTTTTTCTGGCAATTTCATAAAAGGGTAGTAGTTAGATTATATGGTGATAAAAATGATGAATAATAGAAAAGATTAAAAGGAATAGCTAAAGCATAAAATAGATACCCAATACAGGAAAATATATAGGTTGTATAGTAATATCTAAATTATATTATTTAGATTATATAGTAGTAATTAGATTATAAAAAAGTATTCAGATTATATAGTGATAGGTAAATTATATAGTGGCAATTAAATTATTGCAATAATATAATTTAAAATAAGTGGAATACTACCATATAATATAATTATATTATCCCTTAGAGTGTTTTGTGCCTAAATAATTTGCACATAATTTTTAAAAATAATGTTTAATTATTAAAAAAAATAAACTTATTAATAATTGAGGTAGTACAAATTTTTTTTATGTTAAAACTTAAAATCATATTTAATTAATAAAAATAATTTGAAAATTGACATTTTAAATATACTTTTTACTATTAAGTAAAGTTGTAGAGAAGATGAAATTACATGTAATATATAATCTTTACAGCTTTATAATAAGTACACGCCTAGTTTAATTTTAGAAATCTTAAAAAAAAATACATAATTTAGAAATTTTAATATGAAAAATATTTGTTAAAAAAGAAATAACATTTTTCCAATAAAATTACTGATATTTTCTAAGTAAAATAAAAAAAAACAGTAGGTTATTTGGTGTAATTTATCGTATATAACAGTTTAAAAATAAAATATAAAAAATAATACTAAAATTTTATTATGTAAAAATATCCAATTATTTTATTATCCAGTGATCATAAAAGATTGTACAATAGTTCATTAGATTCATCTTATAAAGGCGCATCCAATGGTACTAGTTATATATCTATAACATTAATATATAACAAGTAATAGTAGTTTAAAGATTTATGAATTTTTATTGATAATTTACTATTTGTTGATGTTAGAGACATAAAAATACTGTTATTTGATTCATGATGTGATAAATCTAAAAACTTTAATTAATTTTTATTATTACTTAATGGCAAGTAATTATTATTTATGGTTTTTTAAAGTTTTAGGCAAATTTGCTACACAATTTTTTTTTAATAATTTAATTGTTAGCAACTTTTTATCTATATGTAAAGCCTAAATAGGCCTTTTAAACCTTTTTTTTTAAGCTTAATTAAAGTTGTAGAACAAGGTGAAATACGTAATATATGTAAATTTCAGACTTCTACTAAGATATATAAATGAGAAATGTGATGTGATTAACTCTGTAAAATTTTATGAATTTTGCTAATTTTTATAAATACAAAAATTCATCTATAAGACAACTATTCCAAAAAATGATTTATATGAAAAAATAATATTTTTAATATAAATTTTATAATGTTTTCTATGCAAAAATAAAAAAAAATCTAGGTTAATTATTGAAATTTCGCATATATAATTAATTAAACAATGTTAAAAATTATGTGCAAATTTGCATGCAATTTTTTTTTAATAATTTAACTGTTAGCAACTTTTTGTCTATATGTAAAGCCTAAATTGGCCTTCTAAACCTTTTTTTTTAAGCTTAATAAATATTGTAGAGCAAGATGAAATATGTAACATATGTAAATTTCAGACTTCTAGGATATATAGATAGATGAGAAATGCGATGCGATTAACTCTGTAAAATTTTATAAATTTTGCCAATTTTTACAAATGCAAAAATTCATCTATAAGGCAACTATACAAAAAAATGATTTAAATAATAAAATAATATTTTTAACATAATATTCATGATGTTTTCTATGCAAAAATAAAAAAAATTCTAAGTTATTTATTGCAATTTCACGTATATAATTAATTAAACAATGTTAAAAATTGCATGCAAATTTGCATGCAATTTTCTTATTATTTAAGGGATATAGTAGTAGTATTCCACTATTATTTATTAATAAAATTAATTTGAAAATTTTTAAAAAATTTTAAAGGCTTATTCATTTCAATTTTTTTTTTTTATTGAAATTTTTTTTATTTAAGAAATTTAAAGATTATTTACCCCATTTTTTTTTTTTAAAGAATTTTATTTAAAATAATTTTTTAATAAAAATAATAATATATATTATTATATGATATCAATTTAATATAAATAATACTTTAATTTGAATAAAATTTATCTTTTAAATTAAATAAATAATTTAATTTGAAATAAAAATTTTAATTAATAAAAATCCAGATAAAAAAAAAAAAATTTTAGCTTTACTATTATTATATGTATAATATATTTTTTTTTTTTTTTATTATTATACTCAAAGGGAATAATATTCCTGATTATTTAAAGGCTATTAAAATAGTAAACTATTAAATTATTAAAGCTTAATTATTTGGTTTTGAAAATATTTTAAATTATTCAAAAATTTAATGATTTGAATAAATCTAATAAATTATAAGCTGATTCAATAGTTTACAAACTGATTTTACTTTTACAACGATAAGATATAATAAACATTATATCTTTTATCAGTTTTATGTTAACTTTTTTGGCCAGAATTATAGCATTAATTTAATGTTCCGAAATTATATATATATATGTGGATTGGCAAATTTTCAAGTGTATTTGGTAAATATAAAAAAAGGCTAAGTATGAAATATTTTTCATATGATTATGTGAAATGGAAGTACGCTGTTATCTTTACAAATATTACAATTATCACTACCAAATGAAGGGTCTTATAACTAAATAGTAATTTTCAGGGTAAAATTAAATACATATTAATGATGTCATCATTCCGACATAACACCGGGTATAGTAAATACTTTATTCCTAATTAATGCTAAAGGATATGCTTTAGTTATTAATAATTATTGTTTTATTTTTCTTTTACCTATCATCATTTGAAACTAATAAATAATGAAAATTACAATTCAACCAATTTGAGTTATCAAAATTTATCATTTGTATTTTGTAGTATCATCCATGTATTGTCTACAGACAAGTTAAAGCTGATCATTAAGGAGTTAAAGCTACTACCGTTAACGATGACGTATATTTTGATTGATCAATATTATAGAAGCCTAAAAATCTAACCTAAATTATTCTCTGGAAGGAGGTATGAGCAAATCAATTTCACGAATTAAAGATGTCAACCGCATTGTGTCAGGTGTCTTGAGAACAAATCACTAACTAGTTCCGTAGCTATAAATGAATAAGTTTCTAGAATTCGTGACTAAATTTGTTATTAACAACGGCATTTTAGACCAATAATCCTCAGAGTGCAGAAAATATTGTCCTTCCAAACATTCCAAGAGAAAAAAGTCATATAAACAATAAATGCCATGACATGGACTACGGTCACTGAACACGAAGAACAAATTAAGATGTATAACAGTAGAAGTGTAAAATTGATCGGCCACAACAAATATTTATAATATGAAACTATTTACCTGCAATTTAATCATATGTGTCGTACCGGTTTACGGATTCCGTCGCTCTAATAATGCGGTTTTCGTTCCGCCACCGGTAGAAGCCGGAGTGAAATATTTATTGCTCCGGGGAGTTACAAAAAAAAAAAAATTTGGACTATAAATCTGTAAACCTCCAATACCTCATGATCAATCTGTGCGACATTATCATAACGCCAGCAATAAATCACAGCGCCAACAATAAAGATGTAAAGATATGAAAGATATGAGTCATAGATTACTCAAAAACCATGGTATTCCAATAATGCATATTGAGATATTACCTAATTTTAATATAACTAACTCAGAATGGGATAGATTGGACCATTAGTAAATTTGAATTATGAATTAGGTGTAGATTCTCTTTTCATACTAATTCAATAATCAGTTAAAATGAAAAACAATGAGAGGCACGTACAGTAATACCTTACTTCATGTTTGATGAATTCTAATTCTATAAAGCGAAAGTAATTCGTCTAACAATTCCCCAATTGTTAAGAGAACGAACTTTATATGAATTAAAATAAATTCTGAAATTCTGATTAGTTCGTTGATTATTATGTAACTTCAATAATGAATAGGTTGATCAGTTATAACATATTTAGAGATTTTTTTTATACCGTAGAATCTTGGAATCTGTAAATAAAAATATCATCGGCCCTAACCGAGTTATTTTTAATTTCATATCGTTATTTCAAAACCGGATCAATGTTCTTTCCTAAATTCACTCATTGAATTATAGATGCAACATACAACCGAATGAAGTAAATCATCTTTATATTATAGGTTTATACAGTATATTGATTTCAATAATGAAATTCTACTCTTCTTTACTATATAAAATCGATTATTGAGAAACCAATTAAAATTTCACTTATTAAGCATAGACATAGCATAGACATAAAAAAAAAAAAAAATTTTTTTTTTCTGATACACTTTTTACAACATTTTATCATTTTAGGCATATTAAATAACCATTTCAAACGGACATTGGATTACGGCGGATGATCCAAATGTAAACCTTATACGGGCCGTTTCGGTTAAATAGCGGATGAACGATTATTATAAATTGTATATTATAAAATTTGATATTAATTGATTTAATTGATTTAATTGTTTTTAATTGTTTTTTTTTCTTAACATAATAATTTAAAAGATCAACATAAGAAAGGCAACAACAACAACAATAATAATAACTTGAGCACTTGAAAATGTGATAATGAACTTTTTTTGACCGTTGAAAAACTATAATTAGGATAATAATAATATTATTGAACTTTTTTTAGAGAGAGTCGGATAAAATAAAACGCTTTAACCCCTGAAAAAAAAAAAAAAAAAAAAAAAAAAAAAAAAAAAAAAAAAAAAAAAAAAAAAAAAAAAAAAAAAATACCAAGAAAAAATTAATTACCATTTAAAACGAAACGGGAAGAACAAAGAAAAATAATAAGAGAATTATTTTTAAATTGTTTTAAAGAATTATTAAATTATTTATTAGTATTATAAATAAAACGAAAAAAAAAAAATATAAAAAATTTCGTACATCAAGTGAAACACCTGGATTAAAAAAGATGATAATAATACCTAAACGAGGGTTGACTATCCCCGTACATGAAAATTTTTATCTAATTGGGTAAGTAATTCGTCACTTGTTTCTTCTGTCAAAAAGCCCATGTCCGAAATCCGTAATTTTATTTTTTTTTACTAACAACATTGTTTTGATTTTTGTTTTGATTTACCATTGCATGATTATAGTCATTTAGGAGTTTAGTTTAGGGTCCTGAGAATAATTAATAAGATAGGCAACGAATTTTGTTGAATTAGGATAAATTAACTGACAATCAATAATAATAATATATGTATGCTTAGCCACTTTAAATTAGGCGTTTATTCTATAATATTCTATAACGTAAATGAAAAATATTAAACGCATATATTTATTTTTTTTTGAAGATTGTGAACGAAATTAGAATCAACATAATTATTTATATACCCAAAATAGAATATATGGTCACGATGAAAAATCTTATTGTCCGTTTTTTTTTTTTTTTTTTC